TTCTTTTTTTTTTTTTCGTTTTTTTTTTTTTTTGCTCGCATGACGGTTTGACTGGTATAATCTCATCTGTTTTGAGGCAATGGTTAGGGTTTTAGTGCAATTAGGGTTTTAGGACTAATTAGAATTCTTTTGTGTGAATTTTGTGGAGGCCGCCGAAGATGTAAAAATCATCTTTAATTTTATAGAGTATGGTTTACGGTTCATGAGTTAGGGCATTTGATCGATTCAAGAAGGTGAAGGCTTACTGGAAAAGTTAATTTTTTTGTGATTCACGTCCTTCTATTGTTTGGCTGATTTATTATGTTTTCGTCCATAATCGTAGGAAAAGAAACTGTGGAGCTAGCTAGAGAACAAAGAATGATTAATGGTACTGGGATGGAAGATCAATTTAGGGGCAGAAAGATTTTTGTTGGAGGATTATCGGCTGAATTGACTGAAGATGACTTCAAAAATTACTTTGAAAAGTTTGGTCGGGTAACTGACGTAGTCGTGATGCGTGATAGTGTAACTAAACGCCCTAGAGGATTTGGATTTATCACGTTTGATTCTGTACAATCCGTTGACTCTGTTCTTCAAAATAACTTTCATGAGTTAAATGGTAGGCGTGTGGAGGTGAAGAGAGCCATCCCAAAAAAGGGGAACTACAATGGCGGCCATATTTCCAAAAGCCCTCTTTCTGAAAGCAATGTTCTTCCCTCTTACCCATATTATAGCTGTGGTTATACAGTTTATCCTGGTTTTACACCTTTTCCACCTTATGGACCAGGTTTTGGTTTATATGGCTCAGACCCCTATGGGAATTGGTTTTCCCCCAGCTTTGGTCCCATGGCTTCACCAGCTGCATGGTATGCTCCAAATTTCTTTGGAATGTTTCCTCCACCTCATAAAAATTCTCTAGTTTATCCAACGTATTCAAGCAATGGGCTATCTACTCCGGTGGCTGGATATGAAACTGCTGATGCGAGAAGAAAGGTTGATCCCCCCACTCGTGCACAGAAAAATATGTCGGCTGACGCAGTGCCATTTCATGCTAAGGATAAAGCTTGAAAGGATCCGTTTTGTACATGGAAACTTGGGATTTATGATTGGATTTGCTCTTGATCTTGTTATAAGGGCATTTAGTTTGTAAATTCTGTAGATTTGTCTAGTTCTTTCTATTATATTTTTTCTAATCTCTGTTTCTTTTAATCTGCTTGTGAATTCATGGTCGTGTGGAACTCTCAGGCAACTGTTACAGTGGTTTTAGATTTTTTGTTATTATCTTTTATTAACATTTGAGACAATAAGGCCTGGTCTGGTCTGTAGAAGAGGGTGGGGTCTTCCATCTAGCCTAACAAGTTAAGTAGCACATTGCTAGTATCGACTCCATTGGTGAGCTCAATACCACTAAACAACTCTAACCTCAAAAAGCTTGGGCCACTTTTGGTTTGCCCACTTCATTACCTAATTATCTATGTTCCAACCAACCATGATCCGTATTCAATCAATTTATTAAAGGGCGGGCATTATTTTATAAGGACAAAATTATGAAAATTAGTATAGAATTATAACTTTTAAAACCCTAAATATTAAAATTTAACCTTTTTTTTTTTTCAATATTAAGTATTGAAATGTAATTTAACCATCATTTTTAGTTCCCACTTGAATTGAAAACTAGCTTGCATGGAAGGATGTAGAGCTTAAGAGTCCAAAACCCACCTAGGCGACCGATGTAACAAGTTTAATTGTAGAATTAACCACAGGGTTGAGGTATGCTTAGTGTCACGGCCATGCTTGTCCAAGGTATGTTGTCTATGATTGTATGTCAGATGTCCTGGTTATGCTTATCCATGCCTGTTCCAAATCCCTTTTGCATGCTTTCATCTTAGATTGACATTTACAAAATCTGTGTTTCATCTTAGATTGACATTTACAAAATCATGTCTACACAGAGCTAAAATACCCAAAAATGTACTATAGGGGATATGACTAGTTGTCAAGTCTTTCTACCTGAGTTATATGCTATCAAAGTCGTCGTTCTTACCTAATCGCTTTTAGCTTATAACATTATTTTCTTTCAAATTGTTTTCAATGTATTTCTTCGATCACGTTTTCTAAAATATTTCTCTCAAACGTCATTCAACACTTAAGCATACACCGACGTTGTCCATGAAGTCTGAATTTCTCACGACTAATGTATAATTCATCTCGCGAGGAGCTAACATGGAGTTATAATG